GATAGAAGTGGTCATATTCTCGGAAACCAAAATTATTCTTTTCTGAAAATCGAATTTCCATTCTATCTCGCAAATTTTTTTTGAAAACCGAAATCTTGTGGAGCCTACCAACGTTCGGTAGGCATAGTCAGAGGTTGCCATATTCTCAGAAACTGCATTTCGTTCTTTCTGAAAATCGTATCTTTACTCTATTTCGCAATTTTTTTTTCAAAGAAAGCATTTTAGTGAAAGCCGAAACTTTGCGGCACCCAGCCTAGATCTCGTTCATAATACTCTTCTGACATATCCTACTCATCATAGATCGACAGATATATACAAAAAAAAACAAAAAAAGGAAGTAGTCCTCTTTTATTTTTTTATTTTATTTCATCTGTTGATTAGGGCCGGAGGAAAGTATTGTTGGGTTGGTTTCCTACCTGCGTGTTACCTCCCACCCACCCTTTGCATACATTTTCCGGGTTGGTACAGTAACACGTCAACAGTGCCACATCAACAATGACACGTCAGCTACAGTGACACGTCAACAGTGCCACGTCAGACAGTGCCACGTAAGCAGTGCCACGTCAGCAGTGCCACGTCAGACAGTGCCACATCAGCAGTGCCACGTCAGCAGTGCCACGTCAGCAGTGCCACGTCAGCAGTGCCACGTCAGCAGTGCCACGTCAGCAGTGCCACGTCAGACACATGCCCTGCCACCATGATGGGCGCAGCTCTTGGCATGTCAGGCCAACTGGCCAATGAGTCCATTGCCGACTACAAAAAGCGCTTCCAGGCTCAGCTCGCTGCAATCGAGGCTGAGGAACAACGCCAACTGGCAGTCAAGGCTTCCCAGCTACAGGCTGAAGAAGCGGCAACAGCAGAGAAGCTGCGGCTACAGGCCGAAGCAGACGCAGATACCCAGGCTCGCCGCAAGGAAGCCCAGGATCTGCTGCTGCGGCATGAAGCCAACAGCATCGACAGACTCAAGTTCTGGCACTTTAAACCGAACGGCGACGAACCAACACCGGAAGAGAAGCATAAGGAGTTTATGGCCAAGCTCGTGACCAGGCTGGTTTACACATGTAACCACCTGCAGTCCGAGCTGGCAAACCTTCAGCGGGCTGTGCGGAACCATAAGACTCAGCATGAGGATGCCACACGGGCACTGGACGCCCGTGTACTGGACCTGGAACAGGCTGCACCAGGACCAGCTGCTGGGGCTTCCAGCAGTGCATCCTCTAGCCGCCAACTGGAGGAACGCGTTGACCACGTAGTGGCAATGCTAGAAGACATAAGTGCCTTCACAGAGCCGACCACCATCAGCCAGCGGTTCGAGTTGCTGGACACTAAGATCAGTCAGCAACAGCAGACCGACCACAGCCACAACAACAGCTCGGCAAGGCCATACAAGATGCCGACGTTCGGGATCGAGAAATTTGATGACTACACACATCAAGACCCGGTCGTCTGGTGGCAAGGATTTACAACGGAGTTGGGGATCCACGAGGTCCCTGACCATCTGTTCATCAGTGCTTTGTTCATCAACACCAAGGGAGGTTGTCACATCTGGCTCAGCCACATGGCAACCATCCACGGCGTCCAGGTTTCAGACCTACACAAGGTCTCCTGGGCGGATATGACAAAGGAATGGAAGAAGCGGTTCATAGTGGGTGACGCGCCTGCGCTCGCCATCAACCGCATCTTCGCGATGGCTCAAGGGAGCACACCGACATGTGACTGGCTCACGGATTGGCAGAAGATCGTGGCCACGCCCGATCTGGACCTGTCATTTCCGCATCTGCGCCGTGAGTTCTACAACAGGTCATGCGCCGCTCTGAGCCTCACACTTGGTGATCGCGAGCAGTACCACACTTTCGCAGAGATCATCAACAAGGCAAGAGAGATCATCAAGACCAACAGGTCAGCTGCACACGAGAAATCAACATGGCAGCCGACCTATGTGGAGAAGGCACGAACTGGTCCGCGACAACAGCACTTCGCTGCAGTCTAGCAGGACAGTGGAGATAACCCAGCAGCCACTCCAGCATCAAGTGACGGAGATCAGGTGGTTGCTGTCCAGCCGCGAAGCAACAACAAGTCCCGCAACAATGGGAAGGCGAAATCCGCATCGCAGGCCGGAAATGGACAGCCTATACAAGTTCCATGGGTCAAGTTTGGCTTGGCCGAGGCGGAGTACAAGGTCCGCGGCCGCTACGGCAGCTGCTATTGGTGCAACAACACCAAGCACAAGACCTCCCTGTGCCAAGATCAGGGCAAGGAGGATGTGCG